AACGGGGAATATACTTTTTAAAATTCTCCATAAATGTATTATAAAAAAAAATCGTTGATAATAATAATATACAAAATGTATACTTATATTCAGATGTCTCTATATAATATTTTGGTATCTTATAGTATTATGTACAATCAATGTCTAAAAAGGTTATGCTCTGCTGTACAGTAGGTTACAAGTGGGTCACTGTATAATGGATGGTATTAAATTTGAATTCAATGATATAATATCATTGTATAAGAAAAACGATTCTGAGCGGAGACGGTATGTCAGTCTAGGTTTAAGACATATAATGTACATATTAATTGTAATAAAAAAAAATATGCACAGTCTTATCATTGTGCATACTTCTTATTCATTATACTATGGTAGATTGCATAGATAGGCCATATTTTGATTTTTTGATTTTTCAGTTTCATATATCTCCGAATAATATTTTTAAATTACAACGAAAAACCAAGATCGTTAATATTGATTTTAATATGTAATTTCGTCCAAATTTGAATTTAAAATGTCTGTACAAAATAACTGTGTTAATTTATTTTTAGATTTTTTGGTTACAGTATGAACTGTTTATGAGAACCTTTGTTTTAAATTTGCAATCCTTAGCTATAAAAACTGAAAATTTTATAACTTATTAATTACAATGTTTAAAATTTTTCTAGATTTTGATAAATTTTGTCAAAATTCGATCTTTAAATCCCTATAAAAAAAATGTGCCTATGTATTTTTAATATTTTTCAATTGCTATTGCAACAATATATCAGGAGCCTTGTATTAAATTTTTACACTTTTTGGCCCAACAAATAAAACTTAATTGATATTTATAGAAAAAAAAAACTAAAAAAATTGAAAACTGAAAATGTCCGTAACAGCTCAAAAAGAGTCAAAATATTTTGAAAAGTGTATGGTGTATAGAAAATGCTAATATAAACATTCAGTAAAATTTTTATGTATCTACAGTTATTCGTTTTTGAATTACAACAAAATAAGGAAATTGCCACTCGAGAAATCGAGTCAATATCCAATGTTGTAAAAATTTGAATTTCAAACGTTCATAAAAATTTAATTTGACTTTCTTATAGACATTTTTTTTTTGATAAATGTAGAAAATTTTATAAGGAATCTTGTATTACATTTTAAAATCTTAGATTTAAAAAGAAAAATTTTGCGAATTCTTTACTCAAAATAATTTGCTAATTTTCGTGATTTTTCCATATTTTGTCAATTTTTGAACTTTAAATAATTGTAAAAAAAAACTGTGACCAAGGATTTTTGATATTTTTCATCTGTCTTTGAAACAATATACTAGGAGCCTTCTATTAAATTTCTAAGCTTTATTAACCAACAAATAAAATTTGATTTATATTTTTAGAAAAAAAACTAAAAATAAATGGAAAATGAAAATGGTCCTAAACAGTTCAAAATAAATCAAAATATTTTGAAAATGTTATCGTGTATAGATACTGCAAATATAAACAACCAGTGAATATTTCATGTATCTATGGTAATTTTTTTATAGTTACACCAAAAACCAAATTCAATTTTGTGAAAAATCGATTTTGAGTAAAAATTCCCGTTTTTCCTTAATTTTTCTATTGTTTTTCTTGGTGCTTTTGAAAAGTCTGGGAATTTTAAATTTTTACCTCCCCAATGCACCAACGATATTCACTTTCCAATCGAACGAGATACTGAAGTTGAACATCGAAGCATTATTTTGACTACTTATCGTGTACGCAGATACAAATAAAATTTAAAAAAAAAAACACTCATCACTGTAAAATCAATACATTCATCGTTCCACTCAGAATCTAAAATATGTTTAATATCTCAAGAAAAACTAATAAAATATTTATAAATATTAATCGAAAATTATTAATTCTTTGTCTACTAATGATGAGCAGATTTGACAGGAATAAAAATAATTTTTAAACCTAAAAAAAAATACCCAATGCATTGTATTATTATTAACATAATATATGAAAATCATATCGAAAAGATAGGATAGATGTACAAAACTATAATGACCTCATTTTAGCGTCTAGAATAATACGACTTTGGTTGTGTTTTTATTTTGTTGCCTAATTTGGCTTTAACCTTTAGTAAAGCCGGGTACTGTATAATTCTTGTCTCGAATAACAGACTTGGACGTATAATTTAGTTTAATTAAAGGGAGCATCCCAGAACGAGGTTTTCGTAAAAGTCCTTGTATATTTTCTGCGCCTATATACAAAACATATACTCAAGTCTGAAAATGTGTGTTACTTTTATTTTGGCTTTGTGGGTTATATAATATAATATTGTAGTGTATACTTTATTATAAAGTATTTGAAAATCGTTTATCGCAAAGTAGAAGAAATTCATTTTTTGTTTTTCATATTTTAAACATAATTGTGTATAATACTATAATATAATAATATTATATTATATAAATTAAATACTATCACTTTATGCGTTTCTGTTTCGGACGAAACATAAAAAATAAAATATTTTTCCAATACGCAAGCGCGTGTCTAAGTCCTTCAAATGTATGGAATCGATTTTTCATAAATTCCAATTCGTTTAAATTTGAATTATGTGAAGATAACATATAATATTACAGCATTATACGAGACATGCAATATTGAAAATGGGTGCACGTCTATTTCCATTCCCAGATAGACTGATATCATATTATTATGCATGTATTTTAGATTTTTTTTAGCATCTGTTTACTTTTATACGGGGTTAGGAAGTGGTGGTACCTATGTGACACGATGTCTTTTACGACACTTATCTATATAGTATACTTTCATAAACATAAATGTTTCGTAAACGATGTTTATTGTAATAAATTCGATGAAAATAAATAAGCGCCTAAGAAATGTATGCTTTTAAATCAATATCTATATTTGTATTTTACAATTTGATACGCCCAATCTATATTATATTATATATATGTTTTTACATAAGCGTATGTGAGTATCAAGCACATTTTTCGTGAACCGCTTTATGAAAAATCACCCCCCTCCCTCTCAGTAGTTACATCATCTATATTTATATAACTTCGTAAATTCTATTTTAAAGGGGCAAATAGTCATTATATACTTTAGATATATATATTATATGAACGACGAGCGTATTACTACAAATATTTAACATGGAGATATTATCTTGATGTTTCTTTTCATACAAAATATTTCAATGCATTTTTGATCCGAAAATTCTCCCACTCTCTGCAACGAGTACATATAACCTAACCATTGTAAACACTAAAGAACATCAAAGAAATTTCGTACACTCAAATAATTGATGTTTGCTTTCACTCAACCCGTCAAATGTACGTCGTTTTTGATAATTCCAAAATCATTATACCACTTTTTACCATGTTTACATTACCTTTTTTATAAACACTGTAATATATTAGACATATACCACAAAGTTATACATTTGGAGCCTTAAAGGTCATATTTTGGTCATTTTTAATGTATAAATAATTGAAAGTTAATTATAATCTTATATTACCTACTTGTATGTATATTATCATACGTTGCACATATTTTCAAATCATTTCAATAACCTAAGTGATATATTATAGAATTAGTGTAAATTAATTAATTATTTTTATTAATACATATACATCAAATTGTATTTACAATATATTTAGCTTATTGTTCAGTGCTTCGTCCTTTATCCTTATACTGTAATTTATCATTGCTGTGAACAACTTTTCTTAAATTCATCATTTCCATTAGCCTTTAAGCTCTTTTTATATATAATTTTTATATATATGGTTTCTCTATTCTTCGAGAAAATCTGTTCTTTAGTGATGTACAAAGCCGAATCAATAGTTTTTCGTTAGGTACGTCAACTAAAGCTAAATATAATAATAATAATAATAATAATAATAATAATAATAAAAAAGTATAAAAGCGTATCTTTATCTGACGTTCTTTAAAAATCAATAACGGATGTTATTAATTTTTACTATCATATTTAATAACTATATACTTGACAGTTCCAAAAACAAATGGAAAAATGTATGAGATATTGCTAAATATTTATTTAAGCTTATTATGGAGGTATATCACTATTATTATGAGGCACACAATTATATTGGAATTAAAATATCATTTATTAAAAATGATTGATTCAGTTTCAAAATACATTGATGTATAAATTATAAAAAAAGTTTATGCTATTAAAAAAATCTCATGAGTGTTAAATTTATTGAATAATTAAAACAAAATAAAATTGAAGGTTGTGTATAAGTCTTAGAAAAAACACGGAATTCTGGAATGTGTATATGTTTTTGAAATTTTACCAAACATGTATTCCCAAAGAACAGACAAAACTTCAGAAGTGTTTTAAATTCCTTAGAGATTCCACAGTGCACTCTTAAGTAAATTTATGTAGAGCTTTAACCGTATTTGCTGCATAATAAAGTGTGTGTATAAATGACATAGATTTTGAAAATGTTTCAGCAATGATTTACAAATGAATAAGGTTTAAAAGAGCAGTTGGCATATTGTTGACATATAACCTATTCTACGGAGAGCCTTTCATATTTGTTCTTATTCCTTCCTTAAACTCAGTAAAGAAAGTAAATATTTATGTATTATAAAGGTGTTTATGTTTAATATCCTGCGTGTTTGTAGTGCAATCCCATAAAATTACTAAACAGTGAAAATATAGATGGACGTGTATTTGATCAGGGTTTCGTCAAATCGATTTTGCTGTCGATGCGTATTTAAAACAATAAAACACAATTGTCGACTAATATATTACAATAACAATAAAACTATTCGTCAATCATAATAGAACTTTCCAATCGTGCATATTTATTCGATTGGTGTTCGGTGTAATAGGTGCCTATATTTTATATTATAAAAATTAAAAACAAACTATATTGGATAAAATATTATATGTATTTGAGTACCGACAGGAAAAATATAATATATTATTTAAATAGTATTATTGTATTTAGTCGTTGTAACGTTTTAAATTATTTATTTTAGTTTTGATGTGGAAAATGGAGCTGGCACAAGTCCTGGTAGATCACCACTGGACGGTGGAGGCACATCTCCGTCAGCTGGTCTGGTGCTACAAAATTTGCCACAGCGTCGGGAGTCGTTCCTGTACAGGTCCGACTCCGATTTCGAAGTGTCCCCAAAGTCCATGTCCAGGAACTCGTCCATTGCCAGTGAAAGGTAAATACTATTTTTATATTAATACAATTCTTTCCTGGGACCACAAGTGATCATCGGATAAATAATAAAACAACATAATAAATCGTTATTATATAGAATTGTTTGTAGAAAAAAATATTAGAGTTGTGGTAATGAAGTAATATTTATTTCATATAATATTATTTCACATATCATACACTCTTCAAATTTCAATAGTAAAAGAGTAGGTAAATATATAGGTTAAAATTGCAAATTAAACACTTGCTTCAGGATAAATAGTAAATATAGATGTACATGCAATTTAAATTTATAATTTGATTCTCACTGTTTCGCCTCATCTAATATCGATATTGAAAGAAACATATTATTTTAAAATCTCAAGTGTATTTTCTTACAAAAAAACATAAACCAAAGCGTTTTATTACTTATGTGACAACAAAAGTTTTATTACCTATTCATTAATATATAATGTTTCCAAGTACTTATTTATCTGCCTATTAAATATTATAAACCATCAATTTACGAGTGTATTAAAATCCTCAAGTACAGAACACATAATCGTACCTATATTTTAGCACTTAAATCGAATATTCCATGATATTGAAATATCATGACAGTGACACAAAGCTTTATTCAACGAATTCCAATTATTATAGAGGTGACAGGAATTGTTTGCGAAATGTTTAAATTTAAACTATAGTTTATTCCGATTTATTATAAATAATAATCATCCAATATGCTCCAGATATAAAAACTAACTAAATGAAACGTTTAAAAACTCAAATTATTTTAAACGTTGATACTTACTTTAGATTTTGATATGAAGCGAAAATAAAATATTTTACACTTTACAGTTTTCAACCAAAAACTTTTAATGTGTCAAAAAAAATCACGTTTGGTGTTTATTATTAGTTTTAAATAATGTTTTTAATACTTTTGACCATTAAAAGTAAGCAACAAAAGTTCAGAAGCATAATATTATTGATTACTATAGTTTTAAAAGTTTTTCCGACATTAACTTATATAAGTATTTTTACTATTAAATTTTTATCTTTAAATTAATCTTTTCAATTTTATTAATACCTTATTGTTTGATGTTTGGTTATTATAGCTTAAAATAATATTATATTACCTACATAACTGTTATTGGCAAAATTGTAATAACTTATTCCACTTATTCTTATATAATATTTATGTTTTTAATGAAAAAATCACGAAAGGCTATTATTTGTATTTGTTTATTAATTTTAAACATAATTTTACTAAACATAATATATATCAGATACTTATCAAAGTAGTTTTGATTTATTTTTATCAAATAGATATTACTAATAATTTAAAGTCAACCGTCTATAACTAGTTTGTATGCATAATCAATTAACTATTTTTTTTTTTAAATTCAATTACATAATATATAGTATCCCCTTTGCTTGTCCAAGGTTAATTCTCAACAAATAGGTACATCATCTGTACACATGTCCAGTTGTTTATCTGTTACAAATAACGAAACCTTTTCTGAAGAATATCGTACGGACAGAAAGTATAATATTCAAAATATATAATTTTTAAAATGTTGATTTATTGTAGAAAATAGTGAAAAAACTACCGAAAAGCCATGACCTTATTGGGTTATTGATTCCCTGCCGAGTAGAAAAACGTTTTTCATTATTTTTGACATTTTAATAAACCCATAGAAACTAGGACAATTTCCCCTATTATTTATAATAGTGTTTCTTAAACATAATATTATATTTTCAAAAAAGGTTATTCAGACATATGGACCACTTACGTCTTTTGATTTTTAAAATGCGTTGATTTAATTTATTTATACAATTGCGAATATCAACGAACCACTCAAATCAATATTGATTGTAAATTAGGTATATATAATAGTTAAATTAAATTAAATTAAATGCATAAAAATAAATTATTGTATTCTATAATGAGGGTTAAAAATGTTTGCTAAACGATAGTAACGTGATTGATAATGTCTTATACTTAATTAATACCGTAACCCACCTTCACAACATTTGCTTTTTTGGATGTCACATTTACCTAAATTGGTCGGATAATATTTACCCTGGGCCAATATAATTTAATATATAGCTATTTAATTTATGATTTTATAAAATTTATTTAAAGAATTTTATTTATTATTATAAAATAAATTATCAACGATTTGATTATTACTCAGGTTTATTTTGTTTTATCACTTAAAAAGATATATATATTTTATCGAATTTTGAAACTATAGTTGTCTAATCTACTTATAATGAAAGTATAGATTTATAATATTAATATTATAGTTAATTTATAATTAAAATTATTTCATTTTAAATAATAAACGGAATACGTTTAAACACGTTGATAACATTTTTACCACATAAAAAAAAAACCCAAAATAATTTATTGAAAGCAAATTCATCATTTACAATGAAGAAGAACACTACATAACTGAGAAAAATGAAATTGAAATTTACACATTAAACAACTGTAGTATAATATTATAATATAATTATGTTTCAGAATTTAAAATATTTTTAAATTTATATAATGCAGTTTTGGTGTTGGTAACGTCTTTATGTTAACTTAACCGGATTTATTATTGTACTGCGCCTCAACCGATTTAAGTCATCTTGAGATTTAAATTTCATTTTTAGTAAATTACTGATGTTTTAAATAGTACCTATTTGTATCTTATATTTTGAAATGGAAAACCTACTAAAAATTAGACTAGAATTTATATTCCAATATTTATTCGACTATATCAACTTACCTTATAGTAAAAACATAAAAAACAAATGTAATTTGGCATTCAATAAAATATGTAAACATGTGGTTAATCATGTGAATTCGGGAGAAATAAATAGACTTAGCCTTAGAATTATTATATATTGTTATATATCTATTTATATAATAGATATAGACATAGTTAATACGTTTTAAAATCCATAAATTAAAAATATAAATTAAATCATTAAATCTTAACTATATAGTATGAGTTCATTATTAAATATCAATTATATTCAATAGCCATATTGTTATCACCAGAATTCATGGGAACGTGAAAACATAGTGTAGTTGTTGTTTATAGAAAACATTTAATAGCAAATAATTTTAAGCCTATTAAATTATTAAATTTTAATTTAATTAATTTTCAGTATCAATATTCCAATCACGTGTTCCGATCACTGAAAATAATATAACATTAATTAGACACTAATTAATATTTCAATACTAATAGATTAAATGTATTGTTCAACTACAGCTTTATATTTATATTGAAAACACAAGCTTGTGTGACTTTCGAGATTACATTCCACTAAAACGATCAGGTACGCCCAGCGTATATGTACCTATATTATGCTCTGTTTAATCAATTTTTATGAACAATTACGTACTCACGTAAATTGTTTTATTATAATAAAAAAATAAAAATTGGTTTTAATATTTTCGTTGATACAATTTTAACGTATATTATATTATTATAATTACCTATTTCGTATTGATTGATTTTTAAATTTTTTATTTTTTTTTTTTTTTTACAATATTGGGCATTATGAACGTTCGATTAATATTTTAAAATAAATACCAACGTTTTATGATTGATCGGAAACAATTGGGTACATAATAATATTATTTTCCAAATCAACAAAAAAAAAAAGAAAAACGGTAAGCGCTATTTATTCAACTACACTCGGCAACCATATAATTGTTATTGAAACCGTGTGTCACTTGTGGTCCTCTGAAAATACGTAAAAAATATTATGTACATTGCGTTATAACCTTAGATCATATACTATGGATGGAGCCACTGCATATTATTTTGAAGCCGATATTAGCGACGAGTCACCGAATTAGGTGATCGATATGCGCATGCGCGAAACAACTCGTTTAATATTAATATTATAACTGTCCCCATCCCAGCCGAGTCACCGAATTAGGTGTTCGATATGCGCATGTGCAACGCAACCTCTCACATATTTATCAGCTGGTGATTATATTAATATTAAACGAGTTGTTTCGCGCATGCGCATATCGATCACCTAATTCGGTGACTCGTCGCTAATATCGGCTTCAACTTTTTGTATTGCTATAATACGCAGTGGCTCCATCCATAGTATATGATCTAAGGTTATAACTATCACTGTGGCGCCATCTATGGAACGGATTTGCTCAGAAAATCCAGAGACGTCATCTGGTGGGGAAGTAGACCACTAAACAACGCTCATTATTATTCAACCAGATGGCATTGTTCGGCACCGAAAGCCGATCAATACCTGTGCAAAAGCTTTGTAGGTTTGACGTACCGCCGGGCGTTTTTTTGTAATATTAAAAAGTAGGAAAAACTGCAATCCTCTGGCAGCAAGCTTACCGAGCACACCTGCTCGACGTTTTGATTGAATACAATAATACGACATTTCTTTTATATATTATTATTATCACGCATCCATCGCACCTTTTTGCAGTAGTTAAGCCACCCTAACTACACCAGCCACGATTGTAGCACACGGCCTTTATTGCTCTGATATCCATATCATTATATTTTATTGACGTACTCAATATTATTAGGAAAACGGATAGTTTGTGTACTATAAATTATAAACTGCTTTCATTCAGTAGTAAAAAATGTTGATCAACTCTGATTAGTTATATGAATTTATGATAATAATAAATTGCTGTCGAGTGTTGATGCATAGTTAAAAATCGTTATATTGTGCTGTATTTAAAAAAAAAACAACAACAACAATATAGTTTTTAAACACTTAGATTATATGTATTATTGTGTATGGTGGGTGTATGTCATAAACTACGACAGATTCAACTTTTAAGTTAATTGTTTTGTGTTCAAAATAATTAAAATTTGTTGTTGTAACACACTAATAACCTAAGCAATAATAATGATTTCGATTTGTATTATCGTTATTAAAAATTACACGAACTCCTGAATCCAACATTTCGGCATGGGTAGGTAAGACTGATCCTTTTTATAATGATATCGTGAAATATGCTTGCACAATACCGAAATAAATTGAACTGAAAAACCTCTGAAGTATTCTATGCATTTTAAAAATATAAATTTAATGAACAGTTCTTTGTTGTGGATTAAAATTATTATTATTATTAATTAAAACAGAACGAGCCTGAGCATTATTTTCTTTACAATCTGTTTTTGTAAGTCTTAAAATATTTCCAAACTCAGTGTACCTGATGATAAGTCATATTATTTATAATACATACTAATATGAACATAGGTATCTTAGTTATAAAATAATAAAAATAAAGGTTACAAAAGTATTATGATTATTATTATTATTATTATTACAAGTATGAAAACTATCCATGAAAAAAATAATGAGTACGTTTGGTGATTGACTGATTAGGTAGCTACATATTTATAAAATTTCAAAATATGTGAACCAGCTCCTACAAATAAATATTAGAGTTCACATGAACGAAAACCAAATGTTTTTCGATTTATATAGGTAAAATGTATTTTATTTTGATTAAGTAATTTGTATTTTTATAGTTAAACTTTATGATACACAAGTGTATGTATACCTACCTAGCTATTTGTAACATGATTAATTATTCAATTATTAACATAGGCCTAAAACATTATTATTTTAACTTGTTCAGCAAATATCTACAAAACCAAATTGATTTTAGCAAAATAGCCTAATAAAGTTGACTAATATAAACATTATCATAATAATATTTAAAATAATATTTCTATAATTTATTCTAATACAATTCGTAAATTGTCATTGTTATTCAACGACCAAGTATACTTCAATATTTGTTCATATTTGTATAAAGCAAAACATAATATTATACATTATTACATATTTTCAGTCGAACTTTTTGTATTGATTATTTCCAGTTATTTCTTTTCACTTGTTGTATCTGCTTGAACTCTTATAAATGAAAAAATAATTTCCATAATCCAATTTAAATATTATGGCATAAACAAATATAATATAGGTGTATACAAGTTCTTATGCATTTATTTTTTTTAATTTATATACATGCAACAATTAATTATAATTTTATGTTATTTATTGCTAAAACAAATTTAATATAATTACTCATTTACCAGAGGTACCCTGTATAAGTTAATAGCAGGAATATACCTACAATCGAGGGATATATCATCATTATTCATATAATTATATCTATTCGTTGAATTTATTGAATTTAATTGTTTTAATTTTAACTTAGGTACCTAATATCAAAACATATTATAAATGTAATACAGTTAATTATTATTTAGAGCTAAATTCTCGTTTGATTTTTTTGCACATAAATACAACATAATATGGTTCGTCTGCTGTAAAGAATAATTAATATTCAACCGTGTATTATGCTATATTAACGATGATTAAACGACCTAATACGTACAAAACCACAGGACTAACTTATTATACTATACTATAATCTCTTAAGTATATTATGAACAGTGAACGAAAATTACATTTAGTTCATGTTCATTTCGAACCGGATTTAACACGAATGCCACAAAAATCAATTTTCAGTTTTCAAACATTTCTTATTGAACTCAAAATTACGATTATTAATGTGACAATAATTGCCACAAAACCAATTCCCCGTGAATTTATTTCACTTCGTGGAAAATATATTCAGATTGGCTTAATATTTGAAAATTATGTTTACTATACTTACACGAAATACATTTTTCTTCTATCAATCATTGAATATTAGTAAAGACAAATATATAGTTACTAGTCATATACATTTTGCAAATTTCAATATTTTTGTAAACCTACTGCATAAACTGTATATCACATACCTATTATATCATCATAAATTACTTTAATAGACAAATAGATTTGACGAAAGTCAAAAATATTAATTTCTTAAGAAAGTTAAATTTATAATAATGCCTATCCATAATTTCAATAACTGGTTACAAAAAAAAAAAAAAAAAAATGCAAAACATAATATAATAATATCTTTAAAATACTATGTCTAACATATTTAGTGTCATTGTGTTTGAAATTTAACTGAAAAGAAAATACAATAAAAAAAATTAAAATATAAATATATTTTTATTAGTATGATAACAATTTAGTTTTTATATTTACAGGTACATAATAATGTTACTACCATAAATTAATAAATTAATAAACTTATTTGATAATAAATTACTAATAAGTACTTTTATCATTTTATAATTTCGGTTTAATTTTTAATGAACTAAATAATTTAGTGTTAAACAGATATTATCTCAAATAACCAAGAGCATTATTTTTATATAATAAAAATCTATTTTACTTTAAAAAAATACCTATAACATAATAATTATAATTTTTTCTTCTGAACAATGGACCTCGTTTTGTAGTTTCTTAAAAATAGACATTTAGTTTATATTTTATATTGTTTTGTTTTCGAACTAACTCATACGAATAAATAAATAATGATAAATCAATTTTTTTCTATCAAGATAAACTTTTAATAAATTGATAGCATGCTAGTATAATAATTGGAGCATATAGTTCGTGAGGGGACAACACACGTCACCAAAAGACCCGGGTGGTAACCCAGCTGTTACATAGTGACGTTTGGCGTGGCTTTACCACGACGCAGTATACTTTGTCATGGACGTAACTACTATATGCTTTTATATAAATATATAATATACATATTTTATATGTTATAATATATCATATTGTATATAATTCCCTCGTATTGTGACAAGAGCATCAACTTGAAAATAATATAATATTATGATTAAATCATACATCTAGACAACAAAAAAAAACATGTATAAGACTAGAAATTTCAAATTCAAATTTTCTAAAATAATATTATTAATCAGAGTACTGACGTCAGTGGGGGGTAGTTTGGTCCACCTCTGTGAATCGAACTCGTTAACATCAATATACACGGTATTCTATTCAAAAAACCTTTCGGAGTACAATAATAATAATAATAATAATACAATTTTATCGTAATTGTGGGTGCGTGTGTGTGATATTTTTCGATATTGCGATTCTATGAGCAAACACATCGACACAAACGTAGGTAGGTAGCTGTACATGCAATCGGTGCGATGGTGCGATTTGTACGCGGTCGATTGACATAATCGTTGTCATCGCCACACCGCCGTCGTGGAAGCGGCATCTCGTAAGAACTCGAGAGATGAAAATCGAACGGTCTGAGGTTTCATTTATTACTATTACCCAGTACTATTGTTTTCGTCCACGAGTTCACTGTGATTTTATTTCCGACAAAGCGGATTGCCGATATGTTGGCACACACCCGCTGGCCCTGCGCCGGGTGAAACAACATAAACAGAGATTTTTTTGCGCGTATTTAAACTGCAGAACTAGGCCGTGCTCGAATCGTAGTTTCTTCCCAGCCACCCCCACACAGAACACTTTCCGGAATACTTCACCGCGAGTACGTTTCCGGTCGAGAGGGATGAGGGCCGTGGGGTTACACATCCGGCCCGGCGGTATAGTCAATACGCTCGCTGGTGCGCTACTATATTATATAGGTAGGTACACGTCACGCCTCCAGTGTCAAACCCGCTCGCGACCTCAAACTGACCTACCCTCGTCTCACCTTACCACCCATCATCTTGTGCGTGTAAAGAAAAAAAATCATTTTTGCTGCAGTCAGACAAAGTAAAATATTACCAATGTTTTTATATTCGATTTTTACAGATTGAAAGAGACTGAAGCCATTTTGGAAAGATCAACGTATGTACATACATTATATACCTAATTTATTATATTATGCACATCCTAAACGGGTGCTGTTAGTAGCAGTAGTAGTAGTAGTAGTAGTAGTTTTAGAAGTATAGTAGTATTCAACACCAATATTTTTCATAGCTGTGTAGTAGTGTTTTAGTAAAGTGTAGTATTATATTATAATATAATAGTTGTAAATATTTTACGATAATTATAAGAATATTTATATATTCTATATATATTATTATATTATTATTATCTTTATATATTATATATATTTGAATATTTATACACCTCGTAGATTAAAGTTAATATAATAATATTCGAGACAATATCCGTACAGATCTGGGGCGCTGCTGCAGTGTAGTTATAACATGCGTTTCGTTCTGTCTTGCGAGGTACCTATCATAATATTATTTATATACCTAGATAATTTAGTAAGTAAGCGATTATTATATTCGACTTATCTGCAGGTTAATAAGGTTAACAAATAGGTGCGTTTGTTTATTGGGTGGTTGAATAACTATAACTTGTCTTGTGCTCTTTTGTACTGCAGTACCTATATAGTTACGCACTTCTTCACATTGTTAAATCGTTAATCCTCCACTTGATGTAAGATTTTTAAGATAATTCTTAAATGTCTGCAAATTGAAAACGCAGTAAAAAAAAAAAAAAATATAGGTATTATTCATCTTCAGACATTTTTTTTAAGTCGTCCACATTGAATAAAATGTGTAAAACTAAGAAATCTACAAACCATATTATATTTTATATTTAACAAAGGTAGGCAAAGATATATCCTCAAAACGATCACTCCATACATATATTATATTAGTATATTGTATTTTTATCACGGTGCAGTATTTGATACTATAGGTACTATATTATAAAATTGTTATTATATTATTATGGCCCGCATTGAGCTGAAAATAATGGGCATACACGATTAGTTAATTATTCCTGCCTAAAAGCACGCATTAGTTCAAATATTATAAGTGATTATTATAATAATAATTGGGATGAAAAATAAGAATGTAAATTGCTTGGAGTAATATAATTGACGACAGTATTACTGAAACCCAATTATTTGGTAAAAAAATGATGTAATTCAGCGTTTTCATATATGTGACCAATTAGTTTTGTTATGTGTTCACCGAAAGAATAATACTACCTACATGATAATATTACGTACGATCAGAGTAGATAAAACATTTTAATTGTATTTAATCACATAAATTCCCAGAAATCGTCAATAAATCAATATTTGCAGGACAATGGTGCATAATATATTATACGGATGACAAATCAGTTGTATTATTTGAAATTCAAATTATTACATTTCTTTAATTTATTCATTATTTGTTATGCTCTGAATTCGTTGCGTTTCATTAAATATACAATTTATGAATTTATCTCTAAATAAAATCAAAAGTCAGGAACAATTGGTGACTTATAACTTCAGTATGGACAATGGGGATGGGTATATAATAATATACATTTTTTGTGTGTGGTAAATTGCAGTAAATAAATCGAAACATTAGTTAAGAGCTAACTATTGAAAATGTTAATACAAAGGGAGAACAAAGAAACCTAATTTTAATAATAGAGCTAAGTTGATAATTAATAATGTTAATTCACTTTTTTTGTACACATATTGACAAGGACATTCGTTTTTTGAATAAATTATAAAAAAGTCAACATAAAAATACTAGATAGTTATTATATATAATATGTATTATGTACCATACGAAAGGTTTAATCTACATATACCTATTAGTTCGGTATGTAAAAATAAAAACTCAATACCTTAGCTCTAATTACATGTTGAACTATACTAATTAAATTTAAAAGTTTTTTCTTCACAACGGGTATTTATAAAAATATAAATTGAAAATTATCATTAAACATAACAGCATTTACCATTAATAATAGCTGTGTTTAAGACAATTTTAGTGTCATTATTATTTATCGTTTGTATACTAAATAATCGTATTCAAGACGACGGCAGTATTAGAGTTAATATTATACATTAATTTAATAACATTTTATATAATAACACTATTAGATTAAAGTTAACAATATTAAACTATCGAAGTTATAAGGTAATATTAAATTATAATTATTTTTTATTGCTATTTATTTTTATCATAATATCTAAGCGAAATTACGTTTAAAAGTCTTATGTCGCTACTATAAAAGTATAACTGCTTTACATTAAAAATTAAAACAGACCTTGTATAATATTATATTGTTTAAATATATTATAGAAGTACGAGTAAAACAACACATATTTTCCTTTCCATAATTAAGATTGATAATCACTACTAAATACCTACTAGACCTCAGCATAGAAGGGTTAGTTATATAGTCATCTGTATAATGGCAAGTAATAATGGCTTTAAAATATGTATTTTAATTAAAATGATAAATCTACATTACCCTAACTAGTTAATAGCAATACATTACGTAAATATGTTCATAACATTTAGCTATAACTTATAAGTAAACTTTGTTATAGACAAATTAAAATGAATAAAATTCAAACATAATACAAGTACATTTAAAAACAAATATTCATATTTTAATTCCTAGAAGATATAAAATAATATTTCTGTGTTCGCAAAATGATGTATGTTAAGTTATTATTATTTTTAAAAACACTACAGTAGAAAAAATTAGTATATTTATTTGTATAAGAACTATGATATTATTATTATAGAATACATTACAATTTATTGTAGATATATAAATTCGTATTCGTTAAATTTCATATTTTAAACCTACCGAAATTTATACCTATATATATATTTTTTTTTTCCTTTATTTGAAATATACAATCTATACCTATGAGGCACAATAAGTACATATGATGAATGTGAATACATATACAATTTACATTAATACATACCTATATATATTTATTAAATATATAATTCAGTTAAACACGTTTAGGTAGTGTAAAAAATAATAAAGGAGTGTTTAATAAGTGAAGATAACGAAGTTAAAAAAATCAATGATGGGAATAGACATTAAAATTAAATTAATGTGATTGATAAGTGGTAATTTTATTATTTTAATGGTCTTTCAATTTGATTATTTCACTAGGTACCTATACAGTATATTTTAAAATTATTGATCTTTTTTTTATAAAAATACATATATATTATACATCAAATTTAAAACTTTTTGTTAGTTCCTTTTAGTTTTCACCGTTAAGTATTTAATTGAATGTACCAATCTTGCCATTATTAAAGGATAAGTAAACATCTTGAAAAATTGAACTTTTCAACTTTTAGTGAATGAAAAATGTATATTATATTTGAAAATGCGTATTGTGTTAGATACTTTTTTTAAGATAATATTATGTAATAAAGTATACAACTTTAAGCAAGATTTGTGATTTTCAAGTTATTTTTCAGTTATTATACATGAATATATATACATATAATAAAACTGAATACACAATATAGGTATGTATATATGTACTGTTTTTGTTTATTCTTGATTCATAAATGTAATTATTTATTAAATTTATAAAATATACGGTCAACTCCAATAAAATATGTCTTTAAAAATATTAAAGAATTATAATCATGATTTTCTTTTTTTTTAAATCATATTCCAAAAACATGGCATTGCAAATCTCGTTTGACAAAAGTGGGGGATGCATAATAACCAACATAATTCACAAAATTGTTGGCATTTGAAAATTACAACATTTTTTAAAAAAATGTATGTTATGATCACAACTTTATTCATAATGGCTTATGAATTTTTATCATTTTAAATATAATATAAAAAAAATAAAGCACATACAAAGTAATGGATACTCAAGACATGGAAATACAAATTATCTTATAATTATTGTATGTCTATACTGATTACTAACATTTAATCAATATTAGCCTAATTTATTTTAACCATTTTTTATATAACAGATAATAAGCTACAACATTTTTAAAAAATGAATATAAATCACTTGAATTATACTACCATAATCTGTAGTATTTGTTTTTATAATACAGTATAGCTACCTCATTTGTTGCAAATAATTTAACTTTTCTAGACGTGTTCTTGTTTAAATAAACTTAATTATAACAATAATTTTATATTTAATATCACATTGAAGGTCGGTGGGACAGTTACTTGTCAACAGTCGACCGAGAAACACGTACGTTTATATCGCGGCAGTTCGCTTATCTGACTAGGTATTATCCGATTTATTTGTCATACTTTGTACCCGGCATCACGCTCATTACGATATTGCCGCTTTCCTCATAACTGCTATGAGTAATAATACAATTTGTAATTGTTGCAATTCACTATTTGCGGACCTCGATGTTCCTATCAAGTGTGATGGGTGTGCTTTGTTATTTCACCCGAAATGCTCAGGACTATCTGCCTCTGAACTAAAATGCCTGGGATTGAAAAATCGACTGCTTAAATTTTTCTGTTCTGACTGTGAAAAGGGTCTTAAAGAATTACCAGAGCTCAAATCGCTGTTAAATAAGCTGCTTGTTGAAGTTGAAAATTTGAAGTCAAATTTAGGTAATAATTCAAATCTCTCTAATGAGTTCATTATTAATGAAATTAATGAGCGCAATAAACGGGCGAAAAATGTTATTTTCTATAATATCCAAGAAAGTAATTCCAACCAGACCGGTGAGAGATTATCTTACGATAACAAACAGGTAAACAGTACTATAGCATCTATTTTAGTTGACACTGATAATCTACCTACACCGCTAAAGGTCATTCGTCTTGGTCGTTATCAACCCGGTAAACTACGTCCTATCAAAGCTATCTTTGAATCTGATTCCATAGTGTTTGATATTATTCGAAACAAAAATAAACTGACTCGTTCAAATCCGCCGTCTACAATATATATATCTACGGATAGAACCCCTTACCAGAGAGACTATATGAAGAGCTTGAAGGAGGAGCTGATGACACGTACAAAGAATGGTGAATCAGGATTAACTATAAAATTTATTAAAGGTACACCTAAAATTGTTATCGTTAATACTGCGTCTA